TCTGAGCTGGACCCAGATTGAGTCAGTATTTGCGGTGCAGCATGAAAGAGTTATTAAATCAAATAAGTGGTCACTGGCGTATTAATCTGGCCTACAGATCCATTTGAGAGAAACTGACTCACAATGGAAGTACAAAACTCTTATTCATATGGTAGTCCTGGCTCTGATCAAATCAGCTTCTATTATTCTTCTGCTGTCTACATTCATGATAATTTATTGTGACTGAATAAGGAAGTTTCAAATAATGAAATGTTTGAAAAAATACTTTTATTTTTATAACTCATCCTGGTAGTTTTGGCTATATGTTGAACCATTATATTTTTTTGCCTTTTAGCTAAACATTGCCACATAGCAATGCTCTTGTTCAAAATAACATTTCTTCTTTACAAAACCAAATGTTCTGTCTGATCCATCAATAATTTGTTCTGCAGTCACGTGTTGTTGTTGTTAGTCACGAAGTCATGTCTGACCCATTGTGACCCCATGGACAACGTTCCTCCAGGCCTTCCTGTCCTCTACCATCCCCCGGAATCCATTTAAGCTCACACTGACTGCTTCAGTGACTGCATCCAGCCACCTCATTCTCTGCCGTCCCCTTCTTTTGCCTTCAATTGTTCCCAGCATTAGGCTCTTCTCCAGTGAGTCCTTCTTTTTCATTGGGTGGCCAAAGTATTTGAGTTTCATCTTCAGGAGCTGGCCTTCTAAAGAGGAGTCAGGATTGATCTCCTCTAGGACTGACCGGTTTGATCGCCTTGCAGTCCAAGGGACTCGCAGGAGTCTTCTCCAGCACCATAGTTCAAAGGCCTCAATTCTTTGGTACTTAGCCTTTTTTATGGTCCAACTTTCACAGCCATACATTGCAACTGGGAAAACCATAGCCTTGACTATATGCACTTTTGTTGGCAAAGTGATGTCTCTGCTTTTTAGTAAGCTATCTAGATTTGCCATAGCTTTCCTCCGCAGGAGCAAGCATATTTTAATTTCTTGACTGCAGTCCCCATCTGCGGTGATTTTGGAGCCCAGGAAAATAAAATCTGTCACTACCTCCATTTCTTCTCCATCTATTTGCCAGGAATTGAGAGGGCCGGATGCCATGATTTTAGTTTTCTTAATATTGAGTTTCAAGCCAACTTTTGCACTCTCCTTCTTCACCCACATTAAGAGGCTCTTTAGTTCCTCTTCACTTTCTGCCATTAGAGTGGTATCATCTGCATATCTGAAGTTGTTGATATTTCTCCTGGCAATCTTAATTCCAATTTTTGATTCATCTAGCCCCACCTTTCTCATGATGTGCTGTGCATATAAGTTTAAGTAGGCAGGCTGACAGTATATAGCCTTGCCTCACTCCTTCCCCAAATTTGAACCAATCAGTAGTTCCGTGTCCAATTCTCACTGTTACTTCTTGACCCGCATATAGGTTTCTCAAGAGACAAATAAGATGGTCTGGTACTCCCATGTCTATAAGAACTTGCCACAATTTGTTGTGATCCACACAGTCAAAGGCTTTGGCATAGTCAATGAAGCAAAAGTAGATGTTTTTCTGGAACTCCCTAGCTTTCTCCATTATGCAGTGTATATTGGCAATTTGATCTCTAGTTCCTCTGCCTCTTCAAAATCCTGCCTATACTTCTGGTAGTTCTCGATCCACATACTGCTGGAACCTAGCTTGTAGGATTTTAAGCATAACTTTACTAGTAAGTGAAATGAGTGCAATGGTGCGATAGTTTGAACATTCTTTGGCATTGCATTTCTTTGGAATTGGAATGTAAACTGACCTTTTCCAATCCTGTGGCCACTGTTGAATTTTCCAAACTTGCTGGCAAATTGAGCGTAGCACTTTTACTGCATCGTCTTTTAAGATTTTGAATAGCTCAGCTGAAATACTGTCACCTCCACTAGCTTTGTTGTTGCTCAGATTTCCTAAGGCCCATTTGACTTCACATTCTAGGATGTCTGGCTCGAGGTCAGTGACCACCCCATCGTGGTTATCAGGGATGTTAAACTCATTCTTGTATAGTTCTTCTTTGTAATTTTGCCACCTCTTCTTAATCTCTTCTGCCTCTGTTAGGTCCCTGCCATTTTGGTCCTTTATCATGCCCATCTTTGCATTATTGTTTTCTTCTATTTCTTGGTTTAAGAAGGCATTCTTATCTCTTCTAGCTATTCTCTGGAATTTTGCATTCAATTGGGTATATCTTTCTCTTTCTCCCTTGCCTTTCACTTCCCTTCTTGCCTCAGCTATTTGTAAAGCTTCCTCAGACAGCCATTTTGCTTTCTTGCCTTTCTTTTTCTTTGGGATGGTTTTAGTTGCTACCTCTTGTACAATGTTGTGAACATCCGTCCATAGTTCTTCAGGCACTTTGTCTATCAAATCTAATTCCTTAAATCTATTTGTCACCTCTACTGTATATTCATCAGGGATATGATTTAGTTTATACCTGAGCGGCCTAGTGCTTTTCCCTACTTTCTTCAATTTAAGCCTACATTTTGCAACAAAAAGCTTATGATCTGAACCACAGTCATGGTCTTGTTTTTACTGACTGTATAGAGCTTCTCCATCTTTGGCTGCAGAGCACATAGTCAATCTGATTTCTGTGTTGACCATCTGGTGATGTCCATGTGTAGAGTCAACTCTTGGGTTGCTGGAAAAGAATGTTTGCTATTACCATCGTATTCTCTTGACAAAATTCTATCAGACTGTGCCCTGCTTCATTTTGTACTCCAAGACCAAACTTGGCTGTTTATTCCGCTTATCTTTTGGCTTCCTACTTTAGCATTCCAATCCCCCATGATGATAAGGACATCATTTTTGGTGATAATTCTATAAGGTGCTGAAGGACTTCATAGAACTGGTTAATTTCATCCTCTTCAACACCAGTGGTTGGGGCATAGACTTGGACTACTGTGATATTGAATGGTTTGCCTTGGATTTGAACTGAGATCATTCTGTCATTTTGGGGATTGTATCCCAGTATTGCTTTTCCTACTCTTTTATTGACTATGAAAGCTACTCCATTTCTTCTGAGGGATTCTTGCCCGCAGTAGTATACCTGATGGTCATCTAATTAAATTCACCCATCCTGTCCATTTTAGTTCGCTGATTCCTAAGATGTCGATGTTCAGTCTTATCATCTCTTGTTTGACCACGTCCAGCTTGCCTTGATTCATGGATCTTACATTCCAGGTTCCTATGGAAAATAGATCTTTACAGCATCGGACTTTCCTTTCACCACCAGATGCACCCACAGCTAAGCGTCCTTTCGGTTTTGGCCCAGTCGCTTCACTCTTTCTGCCGCTACTAGTACTAGCCCTCTCTCTTCCCCAGTAACATATTGGACACCTTCTGATCCGAGGGGCTCAACTTCTGGCATCATATCTTTTTCCCTTTTGGTACTGTCCATAGGGTTTTCATGGCAAAGATACTGGAGTGGGTTGCCATTTTCTTCTCCAGTGGATCATATTTTGTCAGAGCTCTCTGCTATGACCTGTCCATATTGGGTGGCCCTGCATGGCATAGCTCATAGCTTCATTGAGCTATGCAAGCCCCTTTGTCACGACAAGGCAGTAATCCATGAAGGGATCTGCAGTCACTAAGCAAGCTTAAACCATATTATCCAAAGTCTTTTTTCTTATCATTTTCTTTTCCTACAATACAGTATGCATACATCTATCTCCAAATAAGGGATCCCCAAATTTATCCGTAAGAATTGTCACTTCAGGAATGCAGCTGCTATCAGAAATATAGGTTCCTCGCTTAATTCCCTGTTGGAATTACTTGAACTCCCTACAATATACCTGCCAAAATCTGGAGACAGTGCTATATCCTTCAGAGACTTGATTCCCTCCCCCCAAAAAAGATGTTTCTTATCCTGAAAATCTTGCTGCACAAGGATTTGCGTAGCCTATAAAGGGACAGCAGACTGAAGAAGACAGGCAGGCAAATATTAGTGGCAGTCTAACACAGTACTGCGAAGTCTAATAGCAAAGGCACCAGGCTAGAAAATGGGAGACTAGGAGTTCTAATCCTGCCTTAGCCATGAAAGCCAGTTGGTGATCTTGGGCCAGTCATTCTTTCTCATTCCAAGTCATGTCACAGGGATGTTGTAGAGGAAAATAAAAGGAGAAGGATATGTTGGGTATGTTAGCCAATTTGAATTATTTGTAAAAATAATAAAAGTGGGATATGGATAGATAGATAAACAAACAAGCAAATAAATAAATACTTTAGAAGTGCAACAATTTCACTTCAACAGCCCAACAGAAATTGGTGAAAACACAATGTAAAAATGCAATTTAGTAAAAAATAGAGCAAAGTTATTATTTTCTGCTATCTGGACAAAACGTTCCTATTAGCAATATTTGTTTATCAGTTTTTATAAACTAATTCCATTAGCCACATGGATGATGTGTTCAGTCTTGGCTGTTAATGTGCAAACTTGAAAGAAGCATCTTCTAAAATTCAATTATTAAAACAAATACTTCTGCTTTCTCCAGTTACAAAACAGTAATATATATATACTGTAATATATATTATTACAGCATTATTATTTAATATTATATTAAATAATAATACTGTATTAAATATATATTAAGTATTATAATATTTAATACTATAATAATATAGTATTATTATTATTACAGTATTATTATTACAGTAATATATATTATGAAGTATCACAGATATTTACATCTAAGTAGTTTATTATAAGTCAAATCTACTTTGAATTTTGATATTCATATGAGAGACAAATTATAGTACGTACAAATAAGTTTGAATTATTATTTTAATTTTTCAATTTTAGTATATATTTCTTGATTTTTGATTAATCAGTTTAGATAGCTACATAAATATTTCACTAATATTTCTTATAATTGCTACTGGAGTGTATGGAATTTATATAAATTTATATTTGCATAATTTGTCCTTTTTCCTGAAAGTTTGGCTTCTCATTGAAAAATAACAAACAAGTAAAAGAATCAGGAAGAAATTATTTCAGTACCTGAATGGTCCACAGTCAAAGGAAGGAGGCAGAGACATTACGGTATATGCAACTGGTAACACACTAAGGAACAAAATCAACAGCAAGAGTCCCATGTAAAAATTATTGGATTTAGAAGCTTTGAACACTCGTTCATGGGGGACATTGCTGCTCATAACAGCCCAGGTCTGGAAATACATGGAGATTAATAAACGTAATACGTTGATCCCCACAAGTCCTGGGGCATAAAAGGATCCCATCCTATAAGTTTTTTTTGGGGGGGGGGGGAGCATGAAGAAGAGGGTAGAGGGGAAAGAGAAATATTAAAAAATCTTTTTATGATGAAGATACTGCCTGCTTTCAAAAAGATAACCATAATACATATCAACCAGATATAGTGAATCAAAATATAGGTCTTTACCTATATAGTGTCTTCATTATAATATCAATTTTTATTAAAATGCTTTTTGGATTGCAAAAATATGCTTTCTCATCAGTCCATTGAGCAGTGGCAGAAAAGGAAAACAACCTTCATTAGCTTATTCAATAGTCTTACCTATTATCTGACATTGTTGCCATTCTATAAAGTGCCGTGAAAGAGAGAAATAGGGCCACTTCCTAAATACAATTATGTAGTAAGTGAATGAATCAATGCAGTTAGCACTGTGAATTTGCCAGAGACCATGAATTTACTGGGGGTTTTTTTCCAGTTGCTGATTCAGAACATCTATGTTCTACCACAGGGATTATTTCTAGACTGTAAATAGTATGGGAAATAACATTGAGATCTCAGAATTACCATCACCTAGTCACTACAAAGCAAAGATACATGGAAGATATCTGGAAGATATATATCAATAGGAGCAAAACCAGTTTAAGACAGTGCTCCCCAATATTCAGTTCTGATAGACCAGAAGGATACAATGATCAGTGATTTCAAAAGTTACTGATAGGTCTATTAGGATTCCTTGATTTCTGTGGATGTCTCTTCTAACTTGTCTTCCAAGTTAAAAGGGAAAAGTGAATGAAAATCTAAATCTCAATGTGTATTACAGGGAAGAAGATATAAATATAGAAGATATCTCCTACTTTCTTCCTAACCAATAAAAATAGAATTAAAATGGAATTTACCACACTTCAGTGTGGGGGAATAATATAACTGAATCAGCTTCATGGCAGTTATGCAACCCATGAAAACTTGATCTGTTTTCTTGAAAGGAAACAATTTAATATGCATATTGATATCCCATGGGGTCCTACAGCTTCTGAAAGAAGATGAATTCAAATGAGAAAAAACCCACAAAATTCTGTAAGATGTCCTAGTTCTACTTAAAATGTGTTAAAAAATACGGAATATTCCAGCACCTGTGAAGAAGTACAAAAATGGAATACATAGCAATTTTCCCTCAGTTCAGTGAAGATGTAACAAAGTTAACATTTTCTCTGGCTAACAATATTAACATGCTAGAGTATCTTACCAGATCATTCCTTGATTGAAGACCAAACCTAGCACATTACCACTAATATCAAACTCTCCATATGAGGGCTGTTGAGAAAACAAAAATATGATGTAAATGCTGATAAGTCTCATTCAACTTTCCCCAAAACCTGATATGATATCCTTTATAGCAGGAGTCACCAACCTTTTGGACCTCAGGGACCATTAAATTAATAATTTTAAATCCCATGGACCACTAATATGAATGTTTTAAAAAGATAAATAGTATTTAGTGCAATATAAAAAATGCAAATAATTTTTCTGCAGACACCAACATTTTCTCACGGACCACCAGTGGTCCATGGACCACCAGTTGGTGACCACTGCTTTATAGCACTGTTTTATAAGACCCTGTAAGTGGAGATGTTAGGAATGTTAATTGGGGATCAACTGTAACAAAAGGGGGCAAGTATGCTAAGATGGTTCAGATGTTGGATGAAGAGCAGGGAAATGCAAGTTTTAGTCCATCTTTAGCTACAGAAGCTCAGTGGTGGATTTGGGCCAGTTGATCAACATTTTAATATTTGCATATTTTAAAATTCTCATTTTATCTTTTTAAAAGAGTTACAGTTTAGTTTTTAAAATGTTACTAGCCATCTTGATGAGTTGAGAAGGGAAAGATAAGGGATGTTGCTTCTGTTGAATTATGTAATTTACTTCCTGTAGACTTCACCAGAAGACAGAAAAAATATAAAAGGTCAGCTTAAAGCATTTGATTAAATCTATTCTAAATTGAATCCTGTGCTTCCTCTGCAAATAGTTGACTTACGAATCCAGCCTCGAGATCCCAGCACCAGCAGTAGTTTACAAATCTGACAAAACAAGCCCGAAGAAAATCTCCCACTAGGATCGTTACAAATGCCACAAGAATATCAGATACGGTAAGCCTCACAAATTCCTGCAATAGAACAAAAATTGAGAACAATTTATTTAGCAGTTACCTAAAATTTCCTTTATATTTCACATGGAATAAATTTGTTAGGGTAGAAACAAGAAAGCCTGAGAGAATAAAAATGAGGAAAAATTGGGGGAAATAGTAGAGGAGGAGATGGGGGAGGAGAAGGAGGAGAATTACCATTAGTCCATTGCAAAAGGCAGCTTTATTTGGAACAGCTTAAATCCTGTTAACTCTATCAAACAACGTCATTTGCCTATCCCAGGGAAGAACTTAATAGGTGGATAAAAATCCCAAATCCAATCTAAACATATGACTGATAGTGTAACCAACCTTGTAGTAATAATATTGACAGGGAGCACTAAATCACAAATCAAAATACCACACCAATCAACTTCAGTCTGTTCCCAACTCCCAACATGTTTTATAAAAGGCTTTTTCTTACAGCAGAGTGGCATGGCAACTATAAGGAAACCAATAATTCTGTAATTATTGTAGTGTGTAGAAGAAAATGTCAGAAAACTATAAATTAATGGAAATAAAGAATATCTCACTACAGTGATGAAGGCCACAATTAGATGACCTGATTAGCCTACTTTCCAAACAAAATGCACCATATTTGGATTTAAAATGCTTCTAAGCTGTGCTTATTACTGTAAATCTCTAAATTGGCAGACTTCTGGTTATGTCACGGCAATTGCAGACACAGTGAATGGGTTTCTGCATTCATTGTGCTGACTTCTCCCTATTTGTGGGATCCGAGAGGAGCCAAAGCCACCCTGTAGGGGTGGTATAGCAAAGAGGGGCACCCTGTGAAGTTGAGGAGAGTCACAGCTCTCCTGTCTGACCCAGGGTTCTTTTTCCCTCTCAGCCACGGCAAGAAGAAGAAGAGGCAGTTAAAGATGGCTGCTGCAAAGCTGGGACAACCAAAGAACAACTAAGACTGGTGCTGGAGTGGGGTTCTGGTGGCGATATCGCAGCAATGCGGTGGGAAGAGAAAGGTCTCTGTTAGCTGACCTCAAATTTTTTGCGTTTTGGGGACCCTTTGGGGTGCAAAAGGCCTGGAGGGCATTGTGGACTAGAGGGGAAATCTGGAGTGTGGTGAAGTGAAGGGTGATCACTCACTGCATGAACGGACATCCCTGTCAAACCAACGTGAAAGTGTCTGACAGCTTGCTATGGTGGGCCTGAGGCTGTGATGAGCCAATGAGTACAGGGAGGAGAAGATTTTTACAGCAGATGGTGTCATTTCATGTGATTATTTCGAAAACCACAAGATTAATTATCGTTTTGAAAAATGAAGCCTGCCTTTTCTGATTAAAAGAATCCCAGTGGAGAGAGAGTGAGTGACAACACAGTTAATCATTAAGGTGGCGACAAAGAGGAAGATTGTGAGGATACAGCAAGACGGTGGATATCTGGTGAGAACTGATAATTAAAGGAAAGAGAAAGTGAAGAAAGAGAGAAAGAAAGAAAGAAAGAGAAATGCTGGAATCATTTACTTACAAAACTTATTCTGCTTTTATAATTGTTTTACAACTAATATTTGACTAGTGGCAAGACTGAAAGTTAAGCTGAGAGTGCCTGGTATATAGCTTCTATGGCTTGAATAAATTTCTCTCCAAAGCTCATCTGTTTCAATTGTAATATCATGAATCGCCAATTCACATTGTCAAAGGCTTTCTGTGCATCTAAAAACATCAAAGCCATTTGTCTTTCTGGATGTGCCTCATAATATTCCAAGGTGTCCAAAATTATTCTCAAATTATCCCTAATCTGCCTTTTTGGCAAAAAACCATTTTGATCTGAATGTATAAAATTATTTAAATATCTTTTGAGTCTTTCCGCTAATATTGTAGCAAAGATTTTATAGTCTGAATTTAGCAGAGATATAGGCCTGTAGTTCTTAACTTGTTGTAGGTCCGTATCCTCTTTTGGAATGAGTGTAATATATGCTTCTAGCCATGAGTTAGGTATTTCCTTTTTTAACATTACTTCATTCATAACTTCTAATAATGGGAGGCTCAGTGGTTCCTGTAAGGTTTTATAATATTCTGCCGGTAGTCCATCTGGGCCTGGCGCCTTCCCACTTTTTTGTTTTTTTATTGCTTCTGTCAGTTCCATCATCGTTATATTTCCTTCTAACATCATCTCAGTTTCTTTTGGGATCTGGGATAAATTCGCCTTATGCAAATATTGTTTAATACTTTCCTCTTCTATCTTTTCCTTTTTGTATAGTTTTTTGTAGTAGTTTTGTACAATTTTTTCCTTCTCCTCATTTCGAAACCTAATTTGTCCTTGTTCATCTATTAGTTGTGATATTTTCCTTGAATCTCTCTCTTTTTTCAATTTATATGCTAGCCATCTGCCTGGTTTATTAGCATCTTCAAAATATTTCTGTTTAGCGTTCTTAATTTTTTGTGCTAGTTCTTCTTTCTCTATTAATCCCATTTTATGTTTAATTGTATCCATTTTCATTTTAATATCTTTTCTTTGTGGGAACTTCTGTAATTCTTTTTCGAATTTTTTGTAGTTATCTTCTAACAATTTATTTGTCTTTTCTTGATATTTCTTTTTCTTGCATAATCAATTATCAGGCCTCTGGCATAAGCTTTCATAGCATACCCACCGATTCTGCGCTGATGTATCCTCTTTTCTGTTTTCTTTGAAAAAGAAGGCTAATTCTTTCTCCATTTTCTGTAGAAAATCCTTTTCTTTTAATACTGTAGTATTTAAAGTCCATCTAGATCTTCTTCTTTGTCCTTTCCATCTCACCATTATTGGATTGTGGTCTGCCCATGTATTGGCCTCTATCACTATTTCTTCTATATTCGAAGTCATCCATTTCATATCTATTCTAGACCATGATGAATGTCTATTAGAATAAAAGGTGTATTGTCTATTTTTTGCATTTCTTTCTCTCTCTATATCTTTTAAATTTATTTCCTCTATCATCTTAAAAAAAGATTTCGGTAAGGTTCTTCTATTTTGTTTTATTGTCTTTTGTGTATTGTAGTCCATTTTCTCATCTACTATTCCATTAAAATCTCCCATCATACAAATATTATCATAGTCCAGCTCTATTAACTTTGTATGTAGTTTTCTGTAGAAGTCTTCTTGATTGTCACTTGGGGTATAAATTGCTGTTAATAATATTTCCCATATTATCTATCATTTCCACAATCAGAACTCGTCCTTCTCCATCTTCGTAAATTTTTTCCGCTGGTATTGTAATCCTTAATATACAACACCACTCCTCTTTTCTTACATTGTGGCAATGAAGCAAATAATTTCCTAGTTTAGGCTGTGCCAAAAGTAATTCATGTTGTTTTTTAATATGCACTTCTTGTAAACAAATTATATCCATTTTCAATTTCTCCAATTTGTGAAATACTTTTCTTCTTTTAGTTGCTATGTTAAGTCCATTTATATTTATTGTAATTAATTTTTTTCTCCTCCAAGTTTATACTTTATGTGTAGGTTTTGTTGATCTATTAGGTCTCAATTCACGCTGTTCTTTGTATTCTATGGCACCTCCTACTGCACCTTCTAATGTGCTCTCCTCCTTTCCCATCATCAGGAGATCCTCTTCTTGTAATTGGAGCAGTGTCTCTTCCCTTCTTGGCTCAGCGTCTTTTCCTCTTAAGTATTCCATATAAAATGCTTTAGCTCTATCAATTGTGTCTATTTTAAATCTTTGCATTTGCCATGTAAACACCAGACCTTCTGGTATCAGCCATCTATAATTCACTCCTTTCTGGAGCAATATTTTTGTCAGAAATTGATATTCTCTTCTCAATTCTCTTACTCTTCTTGGTATTTGCTTCAGCACCTTTCCCTTGTATTGTAATGCTTTCTCTTTTGCAATCTGCAGTATTTGTGTTTTAATTGATTTTTTAGTGAATCTTATATGGACTTCTCTTGGTAATTTATTTCTCATTGCATATTTAGTGTATACTCAGTACATCTCATCAACACCATCTAACATTTTTTCCTCAGAGATTTCTAAAGCTCCTGCAAGAATTTATATCATTTTCTGTGCCAAATTTTCTCCTTTTTCTTCTTCCACATTTTGAAATCTTAGGTAAAATTCTGATTTGTCCATCTCCCATCCTAGGCCACTTTTATCATGTTCGACTTCTTCTAATCTATTGTCCATATCTCTATTTTTTTTGTCTCTTTGTTCCTCTTTTTCTTCAATTTTTTCAAGTCTGTCCTCATATTTCTTCATCATCTGTTGCATATGCTCCACTTTTTCATCTGTGTTTTCTATTTTTAATTTTATGTCTTGTATTCCTTGCAAGATCATCTGCATTATCGCATCTTTTTCTTGCTCACATTCTGTCTCCTTTTTCTGCTGCATCATTGCCTGTATTGATCATTGTCCTCCCGCTGGTGATGAAGAAGGAGTCGTTCCCGCTGAACTAACACCAGCTGCTTTTTTGCTCATTTCTGTAGATATTCTAAATCAAAATAATAAAATAAAGTATCTTCAGGTTCTTCTCAACCCTAATCCATATTTGTAAAAGAAAGGAATTAAAAACAAACAAACAAACAAAAAGACCAATAAGGGCCAGCGGGAGAAAAAGAAAAAGGAAAAAAGAGAGAAAAAAGAAAAAAGAAGAGAAAATCAAAAAGAAGAAAAACCAATCTTCAGGCTCTTGTGTGCCCTAATCCAATCATGTATCCAGTTTGTCAAAAACAACTTTAAATAAAAAATCTCCAGTCAATGAGGAATATATATATATATATATATATATATATATAAAATAAAAAGACAAAAAAATTAAAAAGATTAAAAAGAAAGATAAAGAGAGAAAAGAAAAATATTGGTTAAAAAGTTAATTAAAAAGAAAAAGGGGGAAAAAGTGATTTCTTCAGGCTCTTAAGTGCCTTAATCCAATTGGATAGACGTGTATTGCAAAGGAGTAAAAGGAAAAAAAGAAAAAGAAAAAAAAATGTGAGAGAAGGGGAAAAATATATAACAGTTTAAAAATAAAAAT